ATCTTAGCTTCCAAGTATTTTATACATAGCAGTGATGTGGGCATGCTGCTTCCAAAATCCTTGGAACGACCGACCTATCTCTCTAAGGCAGGGGTTCTCAATCAGCCGGTCGCGACCCTTTTTGGTTCCAACGAACCTTTCACAGGAGTCGCCTAAGACCATCGGAAAACACATATTCATTGCAGTTATAGAGAAAAAGAATTGCTTTGTGAGGGGGAGGGGGGTCGCCACTACATGAGGGAACTGTATTAAGGGGTGGCAGCATTAGAAAGATTGAGAGCTACTGCTCTAAGGGCATTGACCTGTCAATGTATCAGCTCTTTCATTGCCAACAAAAGGTCTGCAATGTGTCATCAGTTCTTGTTGTGCTTAGTGGCACATGAGGCTTCAAATAGGACTTTCCATGCTTTCCTGTCCTGTGCAGTTTTCCATGTCAAAGATGCCGCACTCAAGTCACTTTCCATCGTTCGTCTCCATGTTGTTTTTGGGCGCCCCTGTTTTCTTTTTCCCTCTGGTGTCAATGTGAGAGCTGTTTTAGCAGGTATATCAGGATTCATTCTCATAACGTGACCAAGCCATTTCCATCTTCTCTTGGTTATCATATTGTCTAAAGTTTCTTGGTTTGTGACTTGAAGTAGTTTAGTGTTTGAGATCTGCAATGTGTGGCCACATGTTAATCAATGTGGAGAAATCAGTGTATTTTTTTATAAGCTTTTCGTGTTTGCTTTTGTTAGGTTGTCGGTTAGAAATTAATTCAACTTTTTCTTTCCTCTAGATTTTAAACTTAAAAGAATATTTTTTGTTTAAACCTTATGGAAACAATAATGCAACCGTCGAAAGGGAAATATAGTAATAATTTAATAGATTGTCATAACAGAAAAACTGGATATGACTAGTAAAGAAATGAGTCTCATAGCGTAGACATATAGAGCAGCTGTTCTCAACCTGTGTGACGCTACCCATTTGTGGATCGAAAGACCATCTCACAGGGGTCGCCTACGTCCATCAGAAACCACAAATTCACTGAAGTTATGAAGTAGCAACAAAAATAATTTTATTACTGGGGGTCACCACAACATGAGAAACTGTAAAAACAGATCGGACTTCCTGTCAAAGTGGACGTTAGGCAGCGGCACTGTTCGAAACAGAGGCAAATTTTTTGCTTCTGTCGGACAGTGGCCGATGCATTTTTGCTCCATTTGTAGACTGGATATAGTTTCGTCGCCCAGCTTCTGAGTTGAATGCATGGTGTGACCCTGTGAGCTGCGGATTGCATTTGGAATGTTGTTTCGACTGTGACCAACGTGTTGGTGTGAACTGTAGATTCAGAAAATGGTGCGATGCCTGTCGTGCAGTGTTGTGGTGCCTGTATGTGATTAAAATTGATCGCGTGAGCAACTGCTGATCTGTTGGCGACTTCTGCTACCATCAATTATGAACCGCAATTCTAATACTGTGATAAACATTTTGTGTGTTTTTCGTTGTCACAGGAGCGGAGCAAAGATGGGGGTGACCCGTTTGCTATGAAGCTGAAACTAAGACTACCAGACCAGACCAATTAAAATAATAACAGGTCGCGGTATTAGAAAGGTTGAGAACCAACCACAGAGTTAGGTTGTTGTAACTTCCATATTTCTGAAAGAGTTTAAAGAACACTTCCAACATGTTTGGGTACCAAGATAATAGACTTCGGATACATGAAAGTTGCTTTAGGTGACTCTTAACCGGCCTCTTCTGTATGTGATATCCAAGGTCGCATTTTTTAGAAAAACAGACCGTACACGCGATACCATAACAAGCATGTCATAGGAGGCGATTAATTAGGGAATTCCTTCGATATCTGAGTACATCTGCATGAGAGACGAGGAAACAACAGTCTGCAAACAAAATAAACTAGATCTGTGGAAAGGACTGTGAACCAAAAACTTGAGTTCTGGAATAAGACCAAAGTCTTATAAATGAACCCCCCCCCCCGTATGGGTTCCGGTGCCCTATTATATGGGGGGGGGGGATAGACCCACTGTCTACCCAAAAGCATGTCGTAAAAATTGGGAGCTTCCTTCGAAGTCGGTGTGCATCTGCCTGAGAGGCAAGGAACCAGCACTCTGCATACAAATGAGTCAGATCTGTAAAACGGATGCACACGCAACACATAGGTTCTGGAACAGGACGGCATTCAAAAAGGGGAGTTGACAGCTGGTGAACATGAACAAGAAGAAGAAATCCGTATGGTGCTGGATTTAAAAAAAATGATATTGGCTCCCAGGTAAACTGTAATTTCACAAGCCGCCTGTGTGTCACCGGGAGCCCTCACGGGAAGAAAAGAATAGTGACACTGCACCATACCAGGCATGTCGTAAGAGGCGACTAATGGGTAGGATTGGGCTTGAGGTTGGATATCTCATCCTGTAAAAACCATAGCCACATAAACCAACCAACCATGGATAAGTCAAAAAGTGAAGAAACAAGTTAAACCCAGCCAACCAGGATAAGTCGAGGCTCTTCAAATAGAGGAAGTATGACACGGTGTGGAGAAAGCCGTAAGGAGTCCGGATTGTTGACGCACCTCCTCTCAGCTAGGAGAATTGGCACCTGGAATATAAAGGAAGGCCAAAATACACACGGAGAAGAGAGCGGGAGAATGAAGTTAGAAAGATGGGGAGGACGTGGGAAGAGCTCCATGCAATGGCGAAGAATAGAACGACTTGGCGTGAGTTGGTTGAGGGCCTATGCTCCATTGGGGGATAGAAAGGCAAAAGAAGAAGAAGAAGAATATCACAAGCTCCTTTGTCTTCTCGATAATGCGGTACTGCTGGGTTCACTCCCAGGGGTAGGCAGAAAAGCCATATTTCTCCCAGATTTACGGTACCTATCAAGGAATCAAGTCCGAAGGGTTGCGATATCCATAGTACCGAGCCAAAGGATTAACAACTCATGGTTTCTGGATATTTAAAAAAAAAAAAAAACTTTTTCACACCGGGTGTTTATCGCTCCTTGTGCGGTCCTGGTAAGGTTGAACTTTATTTATTCAGCTAGGTCAACCCATTCCGCATATTTAGCCGTTTTTGGCACGATTTGGCCACTTCTATCCATACACACTCACACACATACGCGCACACATTCACACACACACACACATTTTTCGTTCTCTTGAAATAGATTATCTCTGTCTGCATTGTTGTCTCTAGTATGAACTTCACTGTCTTATTATATATTCACTCAGTGACCCGTAAAGTTTAGCTTGCACCAGTGTTTTTCTCGGCCAAAAGTTTTGCTTTGATTGATATGTTCTATTTGGGACAGTCTTGGAGGACGTGATCTGTTGACAGGTGCCAATCCACATATACACATGGCTGATTTGCCACTCTTAAAATGTGTTTACATGTGGCTGTCTTCTTCTGTTAATAAGAGATTGCTATTACATGTTGTTCTTCAGTTGCACTTTCCGTAGCTAGTTTATCAGCTCTATCATTTCCGGGAACTCCACAATGGGATAGTATCCAATTTTATAGTTACCTTCCACCGGTAGCTTAGTGCAGCAAATTGATGCTGTCTGTGAGCCGGTCTCCATCTTTATTCCTATTATTGTGTACCCTCTTCCAGGTCGTTGACACTCCAAGAATCTTATTTAAAATCTAGGATAAAAAAAATTCCCGTTGTCTGTCTGTCTGACCCATCATTTTTTCCCTTTAAGCTGCCACTTTATGATTTGACCACCCCATGTGAGTTCTGGGGTCCCATTCTGGGGGGAAACAAGAATAGAACAGACCCATTGTTCACTAAGAAACATGTAATAAAAGTCGACTGATTAGGGGTGTTTCCTGTAAAGTCCTAGTGCATCTGCCTGAAAGAGGAACCAACAGCCTGCACACAAATTAGCTAGATCTGTCATACTGATGTGTAAGCTAAACCTAAAAGTGGACAAAGACAACCATCCCTTAAAGATTCACATTGTTCTGCCTTTGCTTTAGGAACGACAAGGATGACCGAAAAGCACACCTTCACAGCAAGTAAACAGGTAAAACGCAATTACATCACATGGACGAAGAAAATGAAGATGTTGATGATAATCATGGTGTGGATGATTTTTATGATGAAGAAATTGCATCGTAAAACCACACAATGGAGTTGACTTAAAAATCGACATCATAACACCTAGAACATTTCCATAAGCGCCCCTTCTCTATCTCGAGCAGCTTGCACGAGTTCCAGTTGCCCCAACCTCTAAGCTGAGTGCATGGCGTGACACTGTGAGCTGCGTATTTCATTTCATTCGACTGACCAACGTGGTGGTGTGATTTGTAGATTCAGAAAATGGCGCAATGCCGGTTGTCGCAATATTGGTGGGGCCATTATTTGATTCAAATTGATCGCGTGTGCAACTGCTGATCTTTTAATGACTTCTGCTACCATCAATGATGAACTGCATTTCTAACGTCGGACTGTTTGTGTTAGCACTTCGGATAGCTACCATATGCTTTTATTGCGAGTGTATGCTAGATTTGCTGAGAGAGCAGTTTGTCAGTCTTTCCACAAGGGACTGGGATAAACATTATGTGTGTTTTTCGTTGGCACAGGAGCGGAGCAAAGATGGGGTGACCCGTTTGCAATGAAGCTGAAAATAAATTACCAGATTACCAGTTCCAGTGTCAATGGTACCAATCAAGTTGTGTGATCGCATTATTCTTTCGCTAAGATTTTGGTGTCGGCCAAATCCTCTATCACCACCGCCCCGCCCCCCCCCCCCAATCGTTTTTTCTCTAAAAATACCCAAGTAAAACTAAACCACGCAACTAATAAATGACAGTGTTGATTTGCAGCGGCATTTAGCAAGGCTATCTGTAATAATCTAAATTCTAAAGTAGGTCATGATGTATGTAGCTCAACTTTTGGAAATTGGCTACAAAGTCAAATCTGGCTACGCGGTCACGTAGAATATTTAAGAGTTTTGCCCCTTAAGAAGATCTTTGCTGTAGGAAACAATTTTCGCTTCAAACAATATGGCGACGTACAACGGAATTACTAATTCAATTAGTTGTCCAAATTTAAACTATATATGTTTGTGTTGTCTAATTTGCTTCTTTACCAATACATTTGACCAACCTGGCACTAGAACATTTTTGACAGTTCAGGCACAAAACAGCAATGAACCCCCCAGGCTGCTACCATCAGTAGTTATTGCAACTTTAGTTCGAAATAAGGCTCACACTTTGCCGTGGTTCTTGGGGCTGATTGAGAAGCTGGACTATCCGAAAGATCGTATTGCGCTATGGTAAGAACTAAGATAGTCGTTAGATATGTTTTGTTATTAATATTGTATCCATATTCAACAGTCGTTGACTCAGGATGATGATGAATCTGATATATCAGTGATAACACCTTTATTATAAATAATAAAGAGATGTCGGCTCTCCTTGCAGATCCGGATCCGGACGAGGGTTGGATAGGTACTTCAGTCAAATTTTTAAAATGCCCTCTACACCAATAAAACCAGCACAGTTAGATAGCTGTAAACAATCTCTTTCCAATGGTACCTCATTTAGGCTTCTATGTCATTTCTGAGTTGAGATATGTAGGTTTTTGTGGAGATGAGATGTAAGAAACAGCCGCTAAAACTTGTGACCCAGAAACAAGAAGTTTTTTGACTGCGCAACCTACTGCGCAGTTCTGTATCGGCTTTGTTGACATTGGACTGTCATTGGACAAGATGGCAGGCAGTGAGACTCAGCTCACTCAGCCGCATGCGATTGCCTAAAAAACGTCACTGTAAATCTAAACAGCCAGAGTCGGTAAAAAAAATTTAATATGCAAATGTAAAATTGGACGGAGAATTCAACTGTAACTAGCATTACCACAACTGGTAATGTTTAAGGCCTAAAGCCAACCTCGAATTTACCGCTATTTTTTAATCAAACTGATGACTAACAGAAAAACAGAGGAGTCCGGCTGTCGTAGACATGCGCTGTTAATCGGGTTCCCCCACGCTGTTTTCAGCTATTTATAGCTGGTCCAAATTCCCACCAATGGCAAAATTTCATGAGAGATTTGGACCCATACGGAAACCAGCCGAGATTTCCCGAACAAGTTCTGAACGGTTTCCGGGTAACGGAACTTGCCGAAAAGACCGCAAATTGTCGAAACTGTAGTCCCTAGGTTGGACGCGGGCTGGACGACTTAGTTCAGTTTAGTGGGAGTTCTCTCCCTTGGCTGCACTCGAAACAGTGAGCGGAAAAGTCCACGAAACAAATGACATACTTACCTATCATCATACGGTTGCGTGTAAGGTTGCGTTTAGGGTTGCGTAGTCATCATACGGTTGCGTGTAGGGTTGCGTAGTCATCATACGGTTGCCTGAAGGGTTGCGTTGTAATCATACGGTTGCGTGTAGGGCTGCATAGGGTTTGGGTTAGGGGTTTTGGTTAGCGGTAACGTTAGGGGTAGGGTTAGGGGTTAGGGTTAGATGTGAAAATTTTCACGTAGGAGGTCGAAATAGTGGCCGACAATCTGATGCTTGTGGGAGTGGCACCACTGAAATTCTGCCAAATATGACGCCAATAGCGGGCGGCTGGTGCCCAATCGGTGGCGAATTGTCCGTGTCAGTAGCATCCATCGTCCGTCCACTGTTTGAGTGTGTATGTGACTGTGCGCGATTATAGGGAACTACGGCGTCAAAATTGTCACATCTAACGCTAAACCTAACCCTACCCCTAACCCTTACGGCAACCCTAACGCTACCCCTAATCCTAACCCCTAACCCTAATCCTACCCCTACCCTTAACCACGCAAATTTATCGGTCATTAAAGCATACAGATCGGCAACAACAAAAAAACCAGATATCCCAGCAGTAACAAAAAACCCCAGATCTGGGGGACACACCCAAGCATTGGCAGCCCTGATGTCGACCTCACTGTCTTTGTGACTTTTTCCGCTACCTGTTTCGAGTGCGGCCAAGGGAGAGAACTCCCACTAAAGTGAACTAAGTCGTCCAGCCCGCGTCCAACCCTCGTCCGGATCTGCAAGAAGAGCCAAGATGTCTTGTTGTTAGAAGTCGGCTCTGTGTCTAAGTAGTCGATGCGAACGCTTCGCTTCGTAATGCCGGGTTCGATCCCAGCTGCGGGCAATGCACATTGCATTGGTTTCGACAGTGGTATCAAGAAAGCCGACCGTCAAGAGGCAATGGCAAACTACTGGACGTAAATTTGCCAAGAGAAACCACACAACAGCCAGGGGCTGTTAGGGTTGGTTCTGCAACGTCCTGTAAAGGATAGGCAACTATAACTAACTTAGTTGTTAGAAGTTGAGTTGAGACCTGACACAAGACTACATCACACTGGGACATATATAATCACGCGGTTCCCATCATCTCTTCACTTTACCAGTCAGCCAGCGCAGAGTTCCGATTCCAGTGGTACCAGTAGCAGTCTGATTTTTATTTTATGTCCGTGTTGCTGTTACCTTTCTTCTGAGTGTTGAATGTCTATCAGATCCCTTGATCATTCCCCACTGCACTATTCTCTTAGTAGGGATTTAAGTAAAAATTTATATATTAGGTTTTCAACTTTTAAACCAAGACAGCTGGATAGAGGCTGAAAAACAGAGTCCAGTGGTACCTCACTGAAGTCTGTGAGTCAATTCTAAGTGGAGATGTTAACATTTCAGTGACAGAAAGTGCTTCCAAAAATTATAATGGAAAATAACAGAGGCTTAAGTTTGAGGAAGACCAAAATAATCTTCTTCTTTACGTCACCTCAGGGAAAAGTTTTGGTTGTTCAACTTGTTTATAACCACTTCTGGACTTTAGTCTTGTTCCAGAATGTGAGTGTTGCATGCACATCCGTTTCACAGATCTGGTTTATTTGTGTGCAGACATTTGGTGTCTCTCCTCTCCTCCCCCATGCAGATGCAGTTTGACTTAAAAGGAAACCATAAACTAGTCCATTTTTATGACATGCTTCTTAGGTAAGCAGTGGGCCTTAGTCTTGTTTCTCCCACAGTGACACCCTAGAACCCACATGGGGAGACTATGCTGATCAGTTTAGGCTTCCACACAGTTCACTTGCTCCCATCTAGCTTGTCATGCAGAAAGTGGGACCCACTAGTGAAGAACCAGCCAGTCTGTCTACCAGTTTATTTCTTAACACACCTGCTTCTCCTGGAGAAAATTTCAAAGGGCGCTAACTTATTAGTCGTACATTAAAGTACACTCCGTGCAGAGTTGCAAGCATCACTTCAGAGGTCCTGGGTAGTTAGCATCCTTTGGATATTTTCCCTGTGTAACGCAGGTGTGTTGGGAAATGAGCAGGCGGATAGACTGGCCGGTTCTGCACCACTTGGTGGTGAACTGATAGATAACAAGCTGGATGTTGTGAGGGCCCTTTTGGATCGAGTGAACAGTGCCGAGGAACAGATAGATCATTGCGGTAAGAGGAGAATGACACTGCGAGGAGTTACAAGGGAATCTGGCCGACACTCAGAAGAGGGTCGAGACGGATGTACAATTAGACTGTTACTGGTACCATCATAATTGTAACTCTTCGCTTGCTGCTGAAGGTGGGGACAGAGCGCTTATGAGAGTGTCCTGAGTGCTGTGCTGTCCTGTGACTTAGAACAGGGCACAATTGACTTCGAGGCTCGTGTTTACAAAATTTAAGATTGGGGAATCAGCCTTGTATACCTGTGGATTGGCACCTGAGACAACAGATCACATTCTCCAGGACTGTTCCACATACAAAACTTCTGTCCAGTAGATACACTGGTGTAAGCCAGACTTTACAGTCCGCTAAGTGAATTACAAAAGACAGTGAAGTCATACTAGGGACAGCATTGCAGATATAGATCATTTTTTTTCAAGCAAAAGACGGAGATAAATAAAATTCTCAGAGATATGGCTCTACAAAAAAAATTTACTAAAATCATCTGGTCAGCCAAAATGAGTGATCTTAATATTCTGAATAAAGCTAACTGTGTGGATCTTTCTTGACCCCTTTTTGGGCTTTCCTAACATCATCAGTCATCAGCTCTCATTATGCCTAGTGGCACATGAGGCTTCAGAGAGGACTTTCCATGCTTTCCTGTCCTGTGCAATCTTCAGTGCAGTTTTCCATGTCAAATATGCCGCACTCAGGTCACTTTCCATCGTTCGTCTCCATGTTGTTTTTGGGCCCCCTGTTTTCTCTTTCCCTCTGGTGTCCATGTGAGAGCGGGTATATCAGGATTCATTCTCATAACATGGCCAAGCCATTTCCGTCTTCTCTTGGTTATCATACTGCCTAAAGTTTCAGCTTTCCTAACAAACATATCCTAAAAGGACAGACATGTGTTCATACTAGAACTCCATGGGATATAAGGAGTTAAAATAAAATTTACAGGGGAAAGCAGAAAGAAGTGGCAAAGAACTGAATGTAAAATTGCCTAGCAAAACCAAACAGCCAAAAACTACAGAGGTTGGTTGGCTCTGCAGTATCATGTAACGGATATGGAAGAAGCTTTTTTTTTTTTTAAATAAATTTTACATGAAACTTTTGTAATAAATCTTCCGTCTGCTGTTTTTAAGGTGACAAGGTAGAGCTTAAACACCTTGATTTTATACAGGGCTGTATTTAAGTGTTTTTAGTTATAACGGCCTAGGTTTATTTGATGTAAAGAACACTGTCATACTCCTAACAATAATTTTCTAGGATTGCCAGCGACCACAATTCGGACAACACAACGGCTATGTTGAAGGAGTGGCTGTCAGTGATGTCCGAACAGTACCATCATGTTGAAGTTAACTTCGATGAGGAGACACAAGGTACGCTTTTTTGATTGAAAGGAAAGGGGGGGGGGGGGGGCAGAGTTTTGTTTTCTTTATGGAAGCAGTTCTTCTTTTAATTCTGCATTCTTCTTTAAAAAGACAGTTGGAGCACTGTGTTGTGGTTTACAGCTGGGCTACATTACCTGCAACATTTGGCCTAACGTCTCTAATATCAGCAAACACTTAATTAGTAGCCTCTTATGACATGCTTGTTAGGGGGCAGCGGGTCCATTCTCTCCTCTTCCACCATAGGTCCCTGTAACCCACGGTAAACAATGACATTTGTTATTCTGTGATAATTCTGATGTCATTATTTAGTTACAGCTTGTACCAGATTTTGGTGTATGACATAAGTAAGCTTGAATATTTTTTGGAAGTTTTCTTCAATAATTTTCTACTTCATCTGCCCTTTATGCCAGCTGGATCATTGGCTTTCAGGGAACACACTGCAAACTGCTTTGTTAGTTTTTATATCTTCCCCATATCATTCAATCCTGCCTAATTCACTTGTCGGTGTGTTTTGTGCTTTCTCTTTATCTCCCTGACTACGTGGTTCCAGTTGAAGGACATTACAGTCATATTACTATCATTTTCTTATGTGTGTGTCCAGTCCAGAGTCCACATTGTCTTCTCACTCCTTGATTCACTGTAGTTTGCTCAGTGATCTCCCAGAGCTCAACAGGAAGGATTCTGCCTTACCATTTAATTCCCTCTGTTCCGCACAAGCACTGGTTAATAAATATTTGTAGTTTATTAGTAATTATTCCCCATATTCCCCTGTTTGATGGTAGAATTAAATATTATCCTTCGCATTTACCGGCTGTTAACTCCAGCAAAACGTTCTGGTTGTTCATCCTTTCTTGACTTTAGTCATGTTCCAGAACTTGAATTTTCCCTGCACAACCGTTTTACAGATCTGGCTTATTTGTATGCCTACTGTTGGTTCCTTGTCTCCCAAGTGAGTGCACTGCAACTTTGAAGGAAACACCCCTAATTAGTTGCCTCAATTGACTTGCTTGTTGGGACAGTGGGTCTGTTTTTTCCCTCCTCCACAACATCAATAAATGTTTGAGTGTACATGTCTTGAAATCAGAAAACTATATGGTATGGGAGAGTAACAAATAGGCTAGATTTGATCTAACAGCTATCTCTGTTGGAGGGGGTTACGAAAACTATATAACATATTGTCTTAACCACTTATGGTACTGTAGGTTACTTGGTGTAGTTTTAGATTTAGAGCTATATGTTACTAATTAACTTTCAGAATATGAGGGCGAATTTTCTCCTTGTGATTGGACGGAAAGCCGATTTAGTAATATAATACAGCTGAGAGAACAAGCATTGGATTATGCCCGGGAGATTTGGGCAGACTATATTTTTGTGAGTATACTAAATATTTATAATTGTATTGTATCCGTTCTTCGTTCTATTCAAGGAAATGAGAGAGCAGATGAGTTGGCAAAAGCTGGGAGTAATCTTCCACAACCTCATCCATGACACAGCTACAAGGAAACCAAAACAGCGCTAAAGCAGTCTTTCAAGCGGGAGTGCAGAAGGTAGAATGGAGATTACAGATCAGAGAGTTACAGCATAAACAAACTCAACAGGAAAAAAAAAACATCAATTTTTTAGACTCCGGACAGGACACTGTGGTTTTCGAGCACACCTGTACAGGATAGGCATAAAAGAATCTGCTGCCTGTGATTGTGGAGCAGAAAGACAGACCCCTGAGCACATACCGCAGTACTGCCCTAACTTCTCCCAGCAAAGACTGTGGATCTGGCCCAAGGGGGCCACATTGCCAGAAAAGCTATGGGGAACCGGTGGCGACCTTAAATGCACAATCCTATTTGTGACCCAGACAGGACTCAACGTTTAGCAAGACTGGTGTAGAATGCAGAAGAAAAAGAACTTCTTTGTTCTGTGTATGTTTTGAGGCCCCACTGTGGGTGGAAACAAATAATATACCTGCTACCTCCCCAACAAGCACGTTGTAAGAACTAACTAATTAAGGACGTTGCCTTCAAAGTATCTGTATCTGCCTGAGAGGCGAGGAACCAGAGTCTGCATACAAATAAGCCAGATCTGTAAAATAGATGTGTACACAAAACTCAACTTCTAGAACAAGATTAGAGTCCAGAAGTGGATAAACAACCAGAAATTGTTGCCTGTGTTTACAGCCAAAGACAAAGAAGAAGTAGAAGTTTGCCAGACTAATGTCTGTCCGTAATGCCATACTTAGTTTCAGTTCTGTTTATGCACAGCTTTCTGGTTTCTTAGTTGGTAGAAGGGAAGGAGAGATTTTTCTGCCACATTATCTGTAGCTGGATCACACACGTTATCTCAGAATTACAAACCATGTTTGCAACCACCCCACTCTTTCTCCTAAGCCAGAGCCACCATCTAAGTGTTAGTGCATGAAAGTAAATACTCATTCATCAACCAGCGATACTACTATCAAATATTCAGTGAATGTTTAGTTAGTCTTTCCTCTTGAGCCTTACCACAACATCCAGCTTAAGAATGGAGGTGGAGGCAGTCACTGCAGCTTTCCGCTGGCTAGAGAACACGACACACACACACACGTCGTGATTGTAACTGATTCAGAAAGCATGCTGAGAAAGATCAGAACAGGTATGCTTTGTGCAATGTGGCATGCTTCGCTGCAGAGGACACGGGTGAGGAGTATTGTCTGGATTTTCACCGTGGGACGCTGGTGTGTTGGGAAATGAACAGGCGGACAGACTGGCTGACTCTGCACAACTTGGTGGAATACTGATACATGATAAGGCAGACATGGTTAGTGCCTTGTGGGAGAGCGTATACAGTTCGGAGGAGCAGATGGATCACCACAGTCTGGTGAGAGTGATGCAGCGGGGAGTGACGAGAGGTTCTGGCAGATGCTCGAGGCTCAGACAGACGTTTAATGAGAATGCTACTGGCACCATTAGTATCGGAACTCTTCGCTGGCTGCTGAAGATGGGGACGGAGCGCTTATGGGAATGCCACGAGTGCTGTGATGTTGGTTCTTGAATCAAATCCTTTTGAGCCTTGGGTGGCGCATAGGGCATAGGTCATAGCTCTCCATGTCTGGCGGTTTGTTGCCACCTGTTTACTATGGTGATAGTTCTACTCAATGTTTCTGTTGGTCTTCCCCATTTTCTTTTCTCTTCCGGTGTCCGTATGTGAATGTGTGGATGGTATTAAATGAGTTTAATGAACTGAGCTTATTATTTAATTTGCTGTGCTCTGTAGATTGTTGATGCTGATGTTACACTGGAGAATAACAGAACTCTTCAGATCCTTATGGGACAGAAAAAGTAAGTCTTTTTGTCCATTAACTCTTGCTATCCCATGGGGCAGGACCATGAGTGATCAGTTAATTTGTGCGTGTATCAACAACGCATGAAGGAGTAGTGCATTGGGAATTCCTAATTTGCTTTGACATAGATTGTAATAACATAGCATAATAGAAAGAAGTTGAAAATTGTTCCTTTTCTAAGTTTGGAAACCTCACTGTTTTGTTTATTGTGGCGTATTATTACTCTTGATTTACAGCATGTCATCTTTTTAAACATGATTTTTTACAGGGGCAGTGTGCACATGAAGCATCATATATTTGCATATGTCTAGATGTGGTAAACTTCCACTTTATTCATCACCATCCACGCCAGTTCTGTAGTAAACTTCCACTTTATTCATCACCAGCCACGCCAGTTCTGTGGTAAACTTCCACTTTATTCATCACCAGCCACGCCAGTTCTGTGGTAAACTTCCACTTTATTCATCACCAGCCACGCCAGTTCTGTGGTAAACTTCCACTTTATTCATCACCAGCCACGCCAGTTCTGTGGTAAACTTCCACTTTATTCATCACCAGCCACGCCAGTTCTGTGGTAAACTTCCACTTTATTCATCACCAGCCACGCCAGTTCTGTGGTAAACTTCCACTTTATTCATCACCATTCATGCCAGTTCTGTGGTAAACTTCCACTTTATTCATCACCAGCCACGCCAGTTCTGTGGTAAACTTCCACTTTGTTCATCACCAGCCATGCCAGTTCTGTGGTAAACTTCCACTTTGTTCATCACCAGCCACGCCAGTTCTGTGGTAAACTTCCACTTTGTTCATCACCAGCCACGCCAGTTCTGTGGTAAACTTCCACTTTATTCATCACCAGCCACGCCAGTTCTGTGGTAAACTTCCACTTTATTCATCACCAGCCATGCCAGTTCTGTGGTAAACTTCCACTTTATTCATCACCAGCCACGCCAGTTCTGTGGTAAACTTCCACTTTATTCATCACCAGCCACGCCAGTTCTGTGGTAAACTTCCACTTTGTTCATCACCATCTATGCCAGTTCTGTGGTAAACTTCCACTTTATTTATCACCAGCCACGCCAGTTCTGTGGTAAACTTCCACTTTGTTCATCACCAGCCATGCCAGTTCTGTGGTAAACTTCCACTTTGTTCATCACCAGCCACGCCAGTTCTGTGGTAAACTTCCACTTTGTTCATCACCATCCATGCCAGTTCTGTGGTAAACTTCCACTTTATTCATCACCAGCCATGCCAGTTCTGTGGTAAACTTCCACTTTATTCATCACCAGCCACGCCAGTTCTGTGGTAAACTTCCACTTTATTCATCACCAGCCATGCCAGTTCTGTGGTAAACTTCCACTTTATTCATCACCAGCCATGCCAGTTCTGTGGTAAATGTTGGTAGCGGTCTCTTCTTCATCTTCACCTTCACCTGCTCTATACTCGGGTGGAAAGTTCTGGTTTTTGATTCCCTTCTAGACTTTAGTCTTGTTCCAGAGCTTGAGTTTTTCCTTGCACAGCCATTTTACAGATGTGTCTTATTTGTATGCAGACTGTTGGTTTCCTGCCTCCTGGGCAGATGCACTCTGACTTCAAAGGAAACGCTCTGACTTCAAAGGAAATACTCCCTGATTTTGAAAGAAACACTCCCTGACTTCGAAGGAAACACTCCCTGACTTCGAAGGAAACACTCCCTGACTTTGAAGGAAACCCCCTTATTAGTAGACTTTTACTATATTATTCTTAGGAGGAAAGTGGGCCTGTTATTTTTTCCTCCACAAAGGGACCCTGGAACCCACACAGGCAGTTGGCAGCAGTGAATGTCTAGGTATGTCTTCCCTCAGAGCCAAGGACCCCATTAGGCCACTAATGTGTAAGGCATACGATGGTAGACTCCTAGCTTTGTAGACCAGTCGACACTTATTTTGTGATGTGATCAGCCCCACGACAGGCCACCTTTGCTTCCCAGGACTTCGTCTTGTACCCATTTTAGGCTGGGTCAACCTGGTAGCCAGCGTCATTTTTTAAAACAAATCTGACTCAGTGCAGATTCAAACTCAAAACCTTCGGGCTGGCATGTGAGCTTCTAGCCACTACGCCACCACAGATGCTCTTATAGCCCGTACCAGATCAGATACTCATTTTTTTTGTCTGCCCATTGTTACTCTCAGTAGTTTTTTGTGAAAATTATCCAATTTAGTATTTTATCTATCATTAAAAAAAATAATTGTTAATTTATTCATTTCATTTTTAATTTGCTAGGATTGTCATTGTCCGTCCTGTTGTTTTCCATATTGTTTACTTGTGTTGTGCAAAAATTAATTTATTCGCTCATTTAAACTGTTTAATTTTATTCCACTTTTTCCTTAGACTGGTAATTGGTCCCATGCTGAATTCAACACTGGAAGGATATTATTCCAATTTTTGGGGAGGAATGTCTGAAAAGGTATAGTAGAGATTTTACTTTTCAAAATAGGCATTAGTCCCCTTTAAAAAATATGTACACGTGCTTGTATTATTGGAGAAGGGCAGAACAAAAGTGTGAATGCACGGGTCAGGATTGGGGGAGGGGTGCCTTGTGTATATATTCGTATGCCAGTGTTTGTGTGTATGTAACAACAAGAGTAAGTTGCGTACCCTTTACAGGGTGTTGCAGATCCATGTTCTGCATTTTTAGGTTGTTTGTGATGTCACCTGAAGGTGTTTGTATTCACTAGTTTGCTAGTGTTTCTGAACTGCCAGCTCTCGAAACCACTGTCAGGACCAACGCAAGATGGTGTGCTGTCACATTGCCTGCGGCTGGCATCGAATCCAGCACCACGGGTTTACAAAGCACGTTCACAATGCCTTAGCCACAGATAGAAATGTATAAAGCAGCTACTTTCTTTCTTTCTCATAAAGATCATTGGCTTTCAAATGACTTTTCCCTCATATTGGGTGAGCATCATCTTTTGAGGACTATTTTAAATCTTTTTTAAAAATCTTTCAAACATTTTTTTTTATTACAATGAAACAGAAAAGCTGATTGAGTTTTCTTCTGATGCCGCTCTTGTGTCCGGACATAAAATGCAATCATTGTCCACATTTTTAATATCACTGGAAAAAGTATATCCATCTCTGAATTATAGAGCTAACAGATTGTTGGTCATTTTTTTTTAAACTTTCTATTTGTGAAAAAGGACTTTCTCAGCCATGTCGTTAATGAAAACCAGAAATACAAATAGATGTTACTGAAGCACATGATGTATCAGAAACAGTGCTGCAACCGCTTTTACAGCCGGTTAATGCTAAGTAAAAGAAGAAGAATGACGAATTTTGTTTTGTTATCTTCTTCTCCTTCTTCCTCTTCTTCTTCAGCATTCCGAGCCCTTGAGGTTTACTGCTGCAGATATCACTCGCCTCCATTCATCTCTCTGGTTGGCCTTCTCTTTCCACTTGGTGACACTAAATGTTTGCAAGTCTGTCTAGACATTATCTCTCGATCGTGTTTTGTATTCTTTGCCAGGATAAAATAATTCCGATTTCTTCCTCTTCTTTCGTTCTTTTGAAATAGATTATCTATATCTGCAATTTTGTCTCTAATATGAACTTCACTTTCTTTTGTAATTCCTTCAATGACCCGTGAAGTTTGACTTGCACTGATATTTCTCTTGCCCTAAAGTTTAATATGTTGTATTTGGGACAGTCTTGGAGGACATTATCTGTTCTCTCAGGTGCCAATCCACATGGGAACATGGCTGAATTCCGATTTCATTTTGTCATTCTTTTGTTTCAGGGCTACTATCTTCGAAGTGATAATTACATAGCCATTGTAGACCGGGAAATGGTTGGAGTCTTCCCTGTTCCCATGGTGCATACAGCAGTACTCATCGATCTCAACCACTACCTCTCCCCCCACCTGTCCTACAGCAGTCCCCCACAGGGATACACCGGTCCACGAGATGACATCATTATGTTTGCTCATTCTGTGAAAGCTTTAGGTAAGCTAGATTTTAGGTCAGGAAGCTGTCTGAATATCCCTGTTTTGTTCTTGCACGCAGAGGGTATCCTCTGTCTTCTTTTTTTTGCATTTCTGATTGTAAAATCTCACTGAGAATTGTGGTTATTCATCCACTCCTGGACTTTGGTGGTCTTGATCCAGAACTTGAGTTTTATGTGCACATCTGCTTTACAGATCTGGCTTATTTTTTTTATGCAGACTGTTGGTTTCTCACACTCAGGCAGTTGTACTCCGACTATGAAGGAAACACCCCTTATAAGTCACCTCCTACAGCATGCTTGTTGTCCAAAATGGAGCCCCGTCACCCACGTGGGGAGGCCCTTCTTTGACTTGACAGGGAAATCAAGAAAACAGTGTATAGTATATGACAAGGACAGACAAAGCAAACACTGAAATGGCTCAGAGGCAACACAGCTGGCTTTGTAGAACGAGCTTAGCCTTTAGTAGACAGAAAACTACTGGAGGGGAAGGGTAGGAAGGTATTAATCACTGTTGTACCTAAGTCCTCTATGGATCAGAAGAAAGCGAAACAACTAAAAAAGTTCTTAATAACTGCATCGCATGTGGGTTCTAGGGCCTTATTGTGGGGAAAGCAAGAATAGACCTACTGCCTCCCCAACAAGCATCTCATGGGAGTTGACTAATTGGGGGCTTCCTTTGAAGTTGGAGTGCATCTGTCTGAGAGGCAAGGAACCAACAATCTGCACACAATTAAGTCAGATCTGTTAAACAGGTTTGCACACAACACTCAGGTTCTGGAACAAGACTAAAGCCCAGAGGTGGGCAAACAACCAGAACTTTCTGCCAGAGTTTAAAGCCAGTGAACACGAAGAAGAAGAAGATAAACTGCAAATGTTCATTAATTGCATCTGCACAGAAGAGATGAAGAAGAGCTGCAGGAAAACCTGAGAACAGAATAGCTAGATTGTGTTTGCACTGGAACTAGCAAGGGCACAGAAATAAAAGCAGACAAAAAAACAAAACACATGGAGATGGGAGCTAGAGAGTGAAGTTAGAAAGATGGGGAGGACATGGGGAGGACGTGGGGGTTAGCTGCATGCAATAGCTAAGGGTGGGCATGCATGCATGCAATAGCTAAGGGTGGCTTGAGTTGCTATGCTCTTGCATGCAATGAGTTTGGGACCACTTGACATGAGTTGAATGAGGGCTTATGCTCGATTGGGGGACATGCATGCAATAGCTAAGGGTGGGACCACTTGACGTGAGTTGGTTGAGGGCTTATGCTCGATTAAGGGGGGACCATGCAGTTGGTGGAGGGCAATAGCTAAGGGTGGGACCACTTGACGTGAGTTGGTTGAGGGCTTATGCTCGATTGGGGGACATGCATGCAATAGCTAAGGGTGGGACCACTTGACGTGAGTTGGTTGAGGGCTTATGCTCGATTGGGGGACATGCATGCAATAGCTAAGGGTGGGACCACTTGACATGAGTTGGTTTGAGGGCTTATGCTCGATTGGGGGACATGCATGCAATAGCTAAGGTGGGACCACTTGACGTGAGTTGGTTGAGGGCTTATGCTCGATTGGGGGACATGCATGCAATAGCTAAGGGTGGGACCACTTGACGTGAGTTGGTTGAGGGCTTATGCTCGATTGGGGGACATGCATGCAATAGCTAAGGGTGGGACCACTTGACGTGAGTTGGTTGAGGGGCTTATTGGGGACATGCATGCAATAGCTAAGTCTTGACGTGAGTTGTTGAGGGGGACATGCATGCAATAGCTAAGGGTGGGACCACTTGACGTGAGTTGGTTGAGGGCTTATGCTCGATTGGGGGACATGCATGCAATAGCTAAGGGTGGGACCACTTGACGTGAGTTGGTTGAGGGCTTATGCTCGATTGGGGGACATGCATGCAATAGCTAAGGGTGGGACCACTTGACGTGAGTTTGGTTGAGGGCTTATGCTCGATTGGGGGACATGCATGCAATAGCTAAGGGTGGGACCACTTGACGTGAGTTGGTTGAGGGCTTATGCTCGATTGGGGGACATGCATGCAATAGCTAAGGGTGGGACCACTTGACGTGAGTTGGTTGAGGGCTTATGCTCGATTGGGGGACATGCATGCAATAGCTAAGGGTGGGACCACTTGACGTGAGTTGGTTGAGGGCTTATGCTCGATTGGGGGACATGCATGCAATAGCTAAGGGTGGGACCACTTGACATGAGTTGATTGAGGGCTTATGCTCGATTGGGAGACATGCATGCAATAGCTAAGGGTGGGACCACTTGACGTGAGTTGGTTGAGGGCTTATGCTCGATTGGGGGACATGCATGCAATAGCTAAGGGTGGGACCACTTGACATGAGTTGATTGAGGGCTTATGCTCGATTGGGAGACATGCATGCAATAGCTAAGGGTGGGACCACTTGACATGAGTTGGTTGAGGGCTTATGCTCGATTGGGGGACATGCATGCAATAGCTAAGGGTGGGACCACTTGACATGAGTTGATTGAGGGCTTATGCTCGATTGGGGGGACATGCATGCAATAGCTAAGGGTGGGACCACTTGACATGAGTTGGTTGAGGGCTTATGCTCGATTGGGGGACATGCATGCAATAGCTAAGGGTGGGACCACTTGACGTGAGTTGGTTGAGGGCTTATGCTCGATTGGGGGACATGCATGCAATAGCTAAGGGTGGGACCACTTGACGTGAGTTGGTTGAGGGCTTATGCTCGATTGGGGGACAATGCATGCAAATAGCTAAGGGTCGATTGGGGACCACTAGACCATATGACTTGTTGGTTGAGGGCTTATGCTCGATTGGGGGACATGCATGCAATAGCTAAGGGTGGGACCACTTGACGTGAGTTGGTTGAGGGCTTATGCTCGATTGGGGGACATGCATGCAATAGCTAAGGGTGGGACCACTTGACGTGAGTTGGTTGAGGGGCTTATGCTCGATTGGGGGACATGCATGCAATAGCTAAGGGTGGGACCACTTGACGTGAGTTGGTTGAGGGCTTATGCTCGATGGGGGACATGCATGCAATAGCTAAGGGTGGGACCACTTGACTTGGACGTGAGTTGGTTGAGGGCTTATGCTCGATTGGGGGACATGCATGCAATAGCTAAGGGTGGGACCCACTTGACGTGAGTTGGTTGAGGGCTTATGCTCGATTGGGGGACATGCATGCAATAGCTAAGGGTGGGACCACTTGACGTGAGTTGGTTGAGGGCTTATGCTCGATTGGGGGACATGCATGCAATAGCTAAGGGTGGGACCACTTGACGTGAGTTGGTTGAGGGCTTATGCTCGATTGGGGGACATGCATGCAATAGCTAAGGGTGGGACCACTTGACGTGAGTTGGTTGAGGGCTTATGCTCGATTGGGGGGACATGCATGCAATAGCTAAGGTTGGTTGGGACCCACTGGGGGACGTGAGGGTGGGACCACTTGACGTGAGTTGGCTTGATGGCTTATGCTCGATTGGGGGACATGCATGCAATAGCTAAGGGTGGGACCACTTGACGTGAGTTGGTTTGAGGGCTTATGCTCGATTGGGGGACATGCATGCAATAGCTAAGGGTGGGACCACTTGACGTGAGTTGGTTGAGGGCTTATGCTCGATTGGGGGACATGCATGCAATAGCTAAGGGTGGGACCACTTGACGTGAGTTGGTTGAGGGCTTTATGCTCGATTGGGGGACATGCATGCAATAGCTAAGGGTGGGACCACTTGACGTGAGTTGGTTGATGGGCTTATGCTCGATTGGGGGACATGCATGCAATAGCTAAGGGTGGGACCACTGACGTGAGTTGGTTGAGGGCTTATGCTCGATTGGGGACATGCATGCAATAGCTAAGGGTGGGACCACTTGACATGAGTTGGTTGAGGGCTTACCTTTTGCATCGATTAAGGGGGGACATGCATGAGTGTTATCGCTCGATTGCAATGCAATAGCTAAGGGTGGGACCACTTGACGTGAGTTGGTTGAGGGCTTATGCTCGATTGGGGGACATGCATGCAATAGCTAAGGGTGGACCACTTGACGTGAGTTGGTTGAGGGCTTATGCTCGATTGGGGGATGCATGCATGCAATAGCTAAGGGTGGGACCCCTTGACGTGAGTTGGTTGAGGGCTTATGCTCGATTGGGGGACATGCATGCAATAGCTAAGGGGTGGGACCACTTGACGTGAGTTGGTTGAGGGCTTATGCTCGATGGGGGACATGCATGCAATAGCTAAGGTGGGACCACTTGACTGAGTTGGTTGAGGGCTTATGCTCGATTGGGGGACATGCATGCAATAGCTAAGGGTGGGACCACTTGACGTGAGTTGGTTGAGGGCTTATGCTCGATTGGGGGACATGCATGCAATAGCTAAGGGTGGGACCACTTGGACGTGAGTTGGTTGAGGGCTTATGCTCGATTGGGGGGACATGCATGCAATACGCTAAAGGGTGGGACCACTTGACGTCGAGTTGGTTGAGGGCTTATGCTCGATTGGGGGACATGCATGCAATAGCTAAGGGTGGGCCCCACTTGACGTGAGTTGGTGGAGGGCTTATGCTCGACTTGGGGACATGGCATGCAAATAGCTAAGGGTTGGGACCCACTTGAACGTGAGTTGGTTGAGGGGCTTATGCTCGCATTGTGGGGGGACATGCATGCAATAGCTTAGGGTGGACCACGTGACGTGAGTTGGTTGAGGGCCTATGCTCGATTGGGCGACATGCATGCAATAGCTTAAGGAGTGGGACCACTTGACGTGAGTTGGTTTTGAGGGCTTATGCTCGAATGGGCGGACATTGCATGCAATAGCTAAGGGTGGGACCACTTGACGTGAGGTTGGTCGAGGGCCTATGATCGATTGCGGGGACATGCATGTGCAAATAGCTGTAAGGGTGGGACCACACTTGACGGGAGTTGGTTGAAGGGCTTATGCTCGATTGGGGGAACAGCATGCAAAAGCTAAGGGTGAGGACCACTTGACATGAGGTTGGTTGAGGGCTTATGCCCGAGTGGGGGACATGACATGCAATAGTAAGGGTGGACCACTTGACCTGAGTTGGTTGAGGGCTTATGCCATTGGGGGGACATGCATGCAATAGCTAAGGTCGGTGACCACTTGACATGAGTTGGTTGAGGGCTTATGCTCACTTGGGACATGCATGCAATAGCTAAGGGCCGTGGGACCACTTGACATGAGTTGGTTGAGGCTTTATGCTCGATTGGGAGAACATGCGCATGCAATACCTAAGGTGGGACACTTGACCTGAGTTGGTTGAGGGCTTATGTGCCCGATCTGGGCGGACATGCATGCAATAGCTAAGGTGGGACACCTTGACGTGAGTTGGTTTGAGAGGTTAAAAACGATTGGGGACAGGAATGCAATAGCTAAGGGTGGGAATTGACATGAGCCTGATTGAGGGCTTATGCTCGTATTGGGAGACATGCATGCAAGTAGCTAAGGTGGGGGACCATTGACAGGAGTTGGTTGAGGGCTTATGCTCGATGGCGGGAGCCATGCATGCCCAATAGCTAAGGGTGGGACCACTTGACAGAGTTGATTGAGAGGCTTATGCTCGAATGGGAGGACATGCATGCAACCCCTAAGGGTGGGACCACGTGACATGAGTTGGTTGAGGGCTTATGCTCGATTGGGGGACATGCATGCAAATAGCTAAGGGTGGGACACTTGACGTGAGTTGGTTGAGGGCTTTATGCTCGATTGGGGACATGCATGCAATAGCTACTGGGGTGGGACCACTTGACGTGAGTTGGTTGAGGGCTTCATGCTCGTGGGGGACATGCATGAAATAGCTCAAGGGTGGGACTCAACTGACCGTGAGTTGGTTGAGCGGCTTATGCCGATTGGGGGACATGCATGCAATAGCTAAGGGTGGGACCACTTGAACGTGAGTTGGTTTGAGGGCTTATGCTCGATTGGGGACATGCATGCAATAGCTAAGGGTGGGACCTCTTGACGTGAGGTGGTGAGGGCTTATGCTCGATTGGGGGGAACATGCACCCTGCAATAGCTAAGGGTGGGACCACTTGACGTGAGTTAGTTGAGGGCTTATGCTCGATTGGGGGACATGCATGCAATAGCTAAGGGTGGGACCACTTGACGTGAGTTGGTTGAGGGCTTATGCTCGATTGGGGGACATGCATGCAATAGCTAAAGGTGGAACCACTTGACGTGAGTTGGTTGAGGGCTTATGCTCGATTGGGGGACATGCATGCAATAGCTAAGGGTGGGACCACTTGACGTGAGTTGGTTGAGGGGCTTATGCTCGATTGGGGGACATGCATCGCAATAGCTAAGGGTGGGACCCTCTTGACGTGAAGAGTTGGTTGAGGGGCTTATGCCGATTGGGGGACATGCATGCAATAGCTAAGGGTGGGACCACTTGACGTGAGTTGGTTGAGGGCTTATGCTCGATTGGGGGACATGCATGCAATAGCTACGGGTGGGACCCACTTGACGTGAGTTTGGTTGAGGGCTTATGCTCGATTGGGGGACATGCATGCAATAGCTAAGGGTGGGACCACTTGACGTGAGTTGGTTGAGGGCTTATGCTCGATTGGGGGACATGCATGCAATAGCTAAGGGTGGGACCACTTGACGTGAGTTGGTTGAGGGCTTATGCTCGATTGGGGGACATGCATGCAATAGCTAAGGGTGGGACCACTTGACATGAGTTGGTTGAGGGGCTTATGCTCGATTGGGGGACATGCATGCAATAGCTAAGGGTGGGACCACTTGACGTGAGTTGGTTGAGGGCTTATTGCTCGATTGGGGGACATGCATGCAATAGCTAAGGTGGGACCACTTGACGTGAGTTGGTTGAGGGCTTATGCTCGATTGGGGGACATGCATGCAATAGCTAAGGGTGGGACCCACTTGACGTGAGTTGGTTGAGGGGCTTATGCTCGATTGGGGGGACATGCATGCAATAGCTAAGGGTGGGACCACTTGACATGAGTTGGTTGAGGGCTTATGCTCGATTGGGGGACATGCATGCAATAGCTAAGGGTGGGACCACTTGACGTGAGTTGGTTGAGGGCTTATGCTCGATTGGGGGATAGAAGGCAGAAAAAGAAGAAGAAGAAAGCACCTAAGCCAGGCACAACATTATCTCTGTATCTGACTTTTGGGGGTCAGTCTCTGTATTGAGGAGAGCACTAGCCACCAAACTCACATCATCCCCATAATAACATAATCTAACATCCTTGTGTGTCTCCAACAGGAGAGACCATGTATGTGATCAACACTGAATACTTTGGGAAGGTCATGATTCCACTAGACAAGAGGCATACCCTGAAGGACGAGAGGGAACAGTTTGATTATGTCAAGCTTGAGGCCATGGGTGAGTAAAAGACTCAACAACTGTGGATGTGTAGATAGACAAAATCTTTTTGTTTATGTTCATCTTTTCTATTAGTTGAAGTCATCTGTTTACATTTTCAGCCCACCCACCCACCTACCCACCCCCAGCTCAGAGTTAAGACAATTGCTTGTCACCTCTAACTTGGAACTTTGTGATTAACTTTGAATGAGAAAGTAAATCTAGCATGTGTTGTCTGTTTACTTGATGAGAAAATAATTCATGCATATTTTGTTTGTTTGTTAATTGAATGAAAAAATTGAGCAAAGCATGTTGATTGAATGAGAAAAGGAATCAGGCATATGTTTTATATATGTTTATTTTTATAAAATGAACTGAGTTTGCATCATGATGTAAAACATTTGGTAATTACATCTGTGACCTTCTCTGCTGATCATATTCAAGTGCCTTGCTGACTGGTGTTAGCGATCATGCCTCTCCATAATCTGCGATCTGCAACTGTGTCTATCAGTTTAGGGAATGAGAAAATTAATTAGACATGTAATATCTGTCTGTTTATTCTTCTTTATTCATTCACCTGAAATAAATCTATGTCTGCGGTTTTGTCCCTCTTATAAATTTTAATCATTTTTAATTAATTCATTTGCTCATTTTCTCCAGAAGGTTTTCCTTAATGCATCAAATTCACCGCACTCTTGGAGTGTGCGTTCTGCTATTTTCGGCATCAATCTACATGCACACATGTCTGACACACCTATCTTAAATTTCCTGTGCATGTGCTGCGTTATCTGTTGTGCCCTGTTCTGAGGTGCAGGATTTATAGAAAGAGAGAGATGAGCTCAGCATGCATTGTATCTCAATATTGTCAATGAGCATGAAACAGTCAGGACTTGTATTTATCTGTATCTGTTATGCAATGTGAAAGTCAATGTGTCCTATTTGTCTGTCTACTAAACAGGAAAATGAACCAAGCATGTGGTATATCTGTTTGTTAAGTGAGAAAATTACCCAAGAAATTTTGCTATATCCGTCCATTTACTGAGTGAGAAAATGAACCAAGAAGTTGCTATATCTATCCATTTGCTGATTGGGAAAATGAACTAAGCTGTTTCTATGTCCATCCATTTACTGAGTGAGAAAATCAGCCAAGAAGTTGCTATATCCACCCATTTCCTGAGTGAGAAAATCAGCCAAGAAGTTGCTATATCCACCCATTTCCTGAGTGAGAAAATCAGCCAAGAAGTTGCTATATCCACCCATTTCCTGAGTGAGAAAATCAGCCAAGAAGTTGCTATATCCGTCCATTTACTGAGTGAGAAAATGAGTCAAGAAGTTGCTGAATCTGCCCATTTACTGACAAAAAAAATAAGCCAAGAAGTTGCTGAATCTGTCCATTTACTGACTGAAAAAATAAGCCAAGATGTTGCTGAATCCATTCATTTACTGAGTGAGAAAATGAGTCAAGAAGTTGCTATAACTGTCCATTTACTGAGTGACAAAATGAGTCAAGAAGTTGCTATATCTGTCCATTTACTGATTGACAAAATGAGTCAAGAAGATGCTATATCTGTCCATTTACTGATTGACAAAATGAGTCAAGAAGATGCTGAATCTGCCCATTTACTGATTGACAAAATGAGTCAAGAAGTTGCTATATCTGTCCATTTACTGATTGACAAAATGAGTCAAGAAGTTGCTGAATCTGTCCATTTACTGATTGACAAAATGAGTCAAGAAGATGCTGAATCTGTCCATTTACTGATTGAGAAAATGAGTCAAGAAGATGCTGAATCTGTCCATTTACTGATTGAGAAAATGAGTAAAGAAGATGCTGAATCTGTCCATTTACTGATTGAGAAAGTGAGTCAAGAAGATGCTGAATCTGTCCATTTACTGATTGACAAAATGAGTCAAGAAGATGCTGAATCTGTCCATTTACTGATTGAGAAAATGAGTCAAGAAGATGCTGAATCTGTCCATTTACTGATTGACAAAATGAGTCAAGAAGATGCTGAATCTGTCCATTTACTGATTGAGAAAATGAGTCAAGAAGTTGCTATATCTGTCCATTTACTGATTGACAAAATGAGTCAAGAAGTTGCTATATCTGTCCATTTACTGATTGACAAAATGAGTCAAGAAGATGCTGAATCTGTCCATTTACTGATTGAGAAAGTGAATAATAGATCTTCTACATTAGTTTAGTGAATAAAAAAAGCAATAAAACTAACTTGTTTACTAAAATGAAAATGAACAACCAGTCCTACGTCTGTCCATATAGCAAACTGAAATAGTGATCCTGACATGTGTTTCATCTGTTTGTTAACTGAAAAAAAAAATGTGCCCAACGTTACAAATATCTGTTTGCTGAATCAAACCTTTGTCATCTGTTTGCTAAAGTTGAACATGAACAAAAGATATGTCATATCTGTCTGTTTTACATCTCTGTGTTTACTGAAAAAAATAACAGAAATCCGGTGTGTGTGTGTATTATATTTGTGTACTGAACAAGAACATGAACTAAGCATTTGTTACATCTGTTTGTTTACTAATTTTAACAAGAACCAAAGGTGTTATATCTATTTACTGAAGAAAAACACGAACCATAAATGTATTATATCTGTTTACTTAACAACAACATGAACCAGGCATGAGTTACATCTGTATGTTTATTGAACCAAAATATCAGGTATTTGTTACATCTGTTTGAGAAAAACATGACCGAAGCATTTGTTACATCTATTTATGGAAGGAGAATGTTCACCATTCATTTGTTACTATTTTTTTTTTTAGTCATTGATAACATAAACCAAGCATGTGTTTGCAAAAATTTGCACTAAAATTGTTTAACATGTTTTTTTTTAAAATTTGTTTTAAAGAAAATGAATCAGCCCTTGTTTCAAATGTTTAATGAACAAAAACATAAACCAAAAATGCATTAACCAAGACTGTTTACATCTGTTTACTGAAAAAGAACATAAACCCAGTATGTGTTGCCTCTGTTTATTAAACAAGAACACGACAAAACATTTATCACATCTGTTTTTACTGAACAAGAAAGGGAATCAAGAATGTTTACTGCTTTGTTTCATTATATCACAGTCATGACATTCCTGCACTAGGGCAAACCCTGTGATACTCAGTCTCACATATCTTCCGCCTTACATATACTCAGTATTATCGCACATTTTATTGCATATGCTTTTATATCGACTTGTTTTATACTGTTGAAATCCATACTGATTTACTGAATAAATTTGTTTTTGAACGTTTACTGCTTAGTTTGTGGATATTTTCTCTTATATCTTAGGAAATGAAGAATCCAGTGCTACTACTTTAGTACCATGTGATCAGCTCTACATTCTTCTTCTTCTTATTTGGGTTCACCCTGTAAACTCTGGTGTAATTGTATGCAGACTGTTGGTTCCTTGCCTCTCAGGCAAATGCACTCCGACTTCGAAGGAAGCTCCCAATTAGTCGACTCTTATGACATGCTTTTGGGTAGGCAGTGGGTCTATTCTTGTTTTCCCTGTAACAGGGCCCAGGAACCCACACGGGGAAGCTCTACATTAATAGAAGCCTCCTTGGGTGGCGGGAAGGCTCTTGTCCTGCCCTTGACTAGCACGCATGTTGCTGTCTTGGATGGGTTACTATCTTCTTCTTCACGTTTTTTACCTGTCGTAAACTTCTGCAAAACGTTCTGGTTGTTCATCCACTTCTGGCTTTTGGTCTTGTTTCAGAAATTAGTTTTTTAATGCACAGCCTCCCCGTGTGGGTTCCAAGGCCCAATTATAGGGGGAAAAAAAGAATAGACCCACTGCCTACCCAAAAGCATGTCGTAAGAGTCGACTAATTGGGAGTTTTCTTCGAAGTCGGAGTGCCTCTGCCTGAGAGGCAAGGAACCAGCAGTCTGCAAACAAATGAGTCAGATCTGTAAAACGGATGCACACACAACACTCAGGTTCTGGAACAGGACTGCAGTCCAGAAGTGGACAAACAACCAGAACTTTCTGCCGGAGTTTACAGCTGGTAAACGCAAAGAGAAAGAAGAATGCACATCCATTTTACAGATCTTGCTTATTTGTTTGCAGACTGATGGTTTCTCACTTCTCAGACAATGAATAAAGAAATAAGAGGAAAGAAAACAATCAACAGTTTGGTGTAGTTTCTATTTACAGTTGGTTGTATAAACAGTAGTAAGTTATCATACACTGATTCATCAAGCAGAAGACAGAAAGATGGCGGGTTTTATGTGCTAGTGCTTCCATCAATACACCTCCACGACCCTAAAAGGTCAAGGGTTATGTTATGTATAAACAATCCAGGAGAGTTTGAGGACCCAGACTGCTTGTCCATGCTACCACTGAGCATAGAAATGAAATGAAAATTAATATTAAAGTTGAGAGAAATTACTTTATTGCACCGGCTTTTATCTCGTATAGCTCGGCCTGTCTCCGCAGAACAGCTAGCCACCTGCCGAAAGCACAGCACAAAGCACGAACTCCATAGCACGGGCAATTAAAAATTAACAGTTGTCAACTGAACAGCGCAGCCGTAAAGTGAACTCGTGACCTTCAGAGGGCGAGGCCAATGACTTGACCACTTCACCGTGGAAACCAGCTGTATAAAGCTTAATCCAATGAACTATGACCACGAAGAATTGTTATGTCATTATGTCTACCCCCCTAATCCCCCCCAAAAAAGTGTTCATCGCTGGTAAACATTATCAAAGGAAGAAAATGGAGATGGCTTGGACATTTCTGCAGACTGTACATTGTTCCCCTGTCCGCATCATTAAGCTATTTAAACTCAGGTCAGTGGATTAATTTCTTGGTATTAGCTTGACTGCAGTCACTCCTGTTTTCAGCACTTTTTGGTGCGTATAAAAAGTAGGGTGGACGTCTCTAAAGGAACCAACCAGCTGCATTGAAATAAGTCAGATCTGTCAAATAGATGTGCATGCAATAATCAGGCTCTGGAACAAGACTAAAGTCCAAAGGTGGATGCACAGCCAGAACTTTCTGCCAGAGTTTACAGCCGGTGAACGCAAAGAAGAAGATACCATATAGTCAGTCAATCAATCAATTAATAAGGTGTGTTCTCCATAATAAAGGTTGGTTGCAACAGATCTGCAGAACATTCAGAACACAAAGAAGTAGAACACAAACATCATGGATGTACACAAACAAGAAGAGAACACAAACAAGAAGAACAAAAATTTTAGCCTAAAGAAGATCACAAACAAGAAGCAGAACACAAACAAGAAGTAGAACACAAACAAGAAGTAGAACACAAACAAGAAGCAGAACACAAACAAGAAGTAAACAAGAAGTAGAACACAAACAAGAAGTAGAACACAAACAAGAAGTAGAACACAAACAAGAAGCAGAACAACAAACAAGAACAGAACACAACAAGAACATAAACAAGAAGTAGAACATAAACAAGAAGATCATAAACAAGAAGTAGAACACAAACAAGAAGTAGAACACAAACAAGAAGTAGAACACAAACAAGAAGTAGAACACAAACAAGAAGTAGAACACAAACAAGAAGTAGAACACAAACAAGAAGTAGAACACAAACAAGAAGTAGAACACAAACAAGAAGTAGAACACAAACAAGAAGCAGAACACAAACAAGAAGTAGAACACAAACAAGAAGCAGAACACAAACAAGAAGTAGAACACAAACATCATTGCTGTGATGTAAAGAGGCACAGTCCAGTTATGTGTCTCAGACGAATGATAGAGATTATCTCATTTGTTCCCCATGTGGGTTCTTGGGTCCTCATTGGGGGGAAAGAAAGAATGGACCCACTGACCCCGGACAAGCATGTCATAAAAGTCGACTAATTAGTGGTGTTTCCTTCAAAGTTGGAGTGCATCTGCCTGAGAGGCAAGGAACCAACAGTCTGCATACAGGTAAGCCAGGTCTGTAGAACGGATATGCATGAAAACTCAAGTTCCGAAACAATACTTGAGTTCTTAAATCGACCAACAACCAGAAATTTCCGCTGGGGCTTAAATTGGGTGAACAAGAAGAAGAAGAAGATCACAGCTGTTCTGATGATAGATATAAACAACAGCATATGATGGTACCAGATTGAGAAAAGGGCCAGGTTAGTTAGTTAGTCTTTCCTCTTGTGTCGAGTGCGGCACATAGGGCAGAGGTCATGACTCTCCATGCACGGCGGTCCGTTGCAATCCGTTGTAGGTCTTGGATGTTTGAGTGGCCCATGAGCGAGCCTTCCCTGATGATAGTTCTACGTAGGGTTTCCCTTGGTCTTCCACGAGATCTTTTCCCCTGTGGTGTCCAAATGAGGGCTTGGTAAGGAAGTCTTGATTTATCCATTCTAAGGGCGTGGCCGACATAGTTCCAGCGGCGTTTTCGTATAAAATTAGACACATACTCTTGCCTGGATTCTTGTCTTAAGGGCCAGGTGGACGGATAAAATCCCTAGTATCCATTTTATTCATAATGTAGCAGGTTCTTTGCAGTATGTGGCTCTCATCACAGCCTGTCTACAAGTAACAGATCTTCTTGCCAACTCTCCAACCTTGTGCACTTTCCTGCCCAAGGTGTCTCTGATATTCTTTGCATATCTTTGTGTTTGCAGGCCCCCACCTCTCATTCATGATACCAGTCCATCAGCCACAAATCTTTTTTCCAATCCACCATGGCACTTTATATACCCAAAAAAAATTCAGTTTCTGAGACACAAGGCTTCTTAGTAGCCAATCATCCTTGCTGTTCAGATCCTTTAAAATGTCATTTGTTTTCTTCTAAATCCATGGTATTCTAAGAAGCTTTCTCTAGTATTTCAACTCAAAACCAACCATTTTCTTCCTTATTGTCTGCAAGATAGTCCGCAACTCACATTGGTATGTTGCCATAGGAAAAATGCATGTTCTCAGAATTTCGACTTTGATTTCCTTGCTGGAGCTAAACTATAGCTGTATATCTGTGCTGTATATCTTTGAATTTTTATGGTAATCCTCCTTTTGACTTCCTTTGAAGTCTATTGCTGTTTATTAAAGAGCCTAGATATTCAAAGCTTGTGACAATTTCAGTGTCTTCATCATTTTTTTTTTTTTAAACGACAGCCAGGTTTGTCTGTGGGCATTTTTTTCCACCTAGAAATTCAGGAACATGTTTTGATCGTCACTATGTTTTTGGACAGACCTAATTAAATATTCCATTCCCTTTCCATTTTTTGAAAGGAAGTCTGTGGTCATCTGCGTAGTGAAGTTTCTGAATTGGGTTCCTGCCAATTGTGAGCAGATTAAAACTGTCACAAATCTGGTCATTTTTTACATATTTCATTATGCTTCATCGCATATATATTGAATAGGTATGGTGAGAGCACAAACCCCTGCGTCACTCTCTTTTGCACTTGAAACCAAACCGATGTTTCTCCAGCTGCTTGGATAGCTGCTTGTTGTTCATGATATAAACTTTCAATTACATGTACCAGATTTGCTGGAAACCCCATACTTCTTATTATACTCCACAATTTCTGATGTTAAACACAATAAAAGGCCTTGTTTTAATAATTAAAGCAAGCATGAAGATCTACATTGGATTCTGTACATTAAAAAAAATTATTTCAATATTAAGGATGTGATTCCCAGTTCCTCTACCCTGAAACCCGCTTGTGCTTCCTGTTGCTCATATTTTCATTTCAATCTAATCCTGTTCATGATAATTGGTTTTCTTGACCATTTTTATTACACTGGATAAACCCCAGAGTAGTGAGTGGTCAGTAGACATCCATTTTCATTAGGGGCAGAACCTAGTCGACTGTGATAGTAAGATAGCCCCAGCCCACTATAAATCCTCTGTTGTTGTATGTCAGTAACAGGTTTAAAGTCAAGATAATAAGCTTTTTTGCTCTGGCTCATCTGTGTGGGTTTTGGGGTCCCATTGTGAGAGGGAAAACATGTGTGTCATAGGATTTGACTAATTAGGGGTTTATTTGTGAAATCTGAGCGCACCTGCCGGAGAGGCAAAAAACCAACAGTCTGCAAACAATAAGGCTAGATCTGTAAAACAGGTGCACACGCAAAACTCAGGTCCTCGAACAAAGTCAAATTCTAGAAATGGATGAACAACCAGGGTTTACAGCTGATGAACGCAAACAAATGAACAAACAATAAATATTGCACTGGCTTTTATCCATTGGCTTGGTCTGTCAACACACAAGGGTTAGCTGCCAGAAGAGTGCTGTACAAAGCACAAATTTCATTTCTCCTGTGACGATCCCTAATCTCCATAAAGGATGCATTCATGATTTGAACAACGCAGTCCATGTCTCTCAAACCAAGAGGCAATATGCTTTAAAAAAAAAAAAGAAGTTACAATTAGGCTTCTTGCAAACAGCCACACCAGCCTGGATTTACCTGTGGCCCTACGGAGGTGTAAGATCTAGTCAACTAACTCCTCTTTTATGTCATAAATTGTTATCTTAAGGCTGCACCTTATATCAATAGACTTCATGAAAAGTCTTATGTTTTTTTTTTTCAGTTCAAGATGTTCCTCCTCTCTACAGTTCACCACATATATCTGTACCAGAGAGACCCAAGGATAAACTTGGATTTGATGAGGTCAGTAGCTTTTTGTGTAGTTAGTTGCGTATTTTTTACAGAACGCTGCTAAACCAACCCCAGCATTTTGTGTCAATAATGAGGAATGGCTGCATTAAATCTCAAACACGCTCTGTTTCTTGTCTTGATAGTACACTCTTTTAGACTTGCTATTGGTCCATCTCTTGATGTTGTCCTCTCACTTGTATCATTGCCTACCTCTTGCTTTCTTGCCTTTAACTTTTTCCTCAAGTATGGTTTTTAACCATATCTCTTAAACAACATTCTGTCCTGAAAGCTGAGGTATTTTGTCCATGTTAAACGTTCTGGTGGCCTAAGAGAAGGATGATAAATGCACATAGGGCTGGAGAATTGGCTAGAGAAAGAAAGACTTTCAGATGTGCCGTGACAAGAGCAACTTTTTGTAAAGGACCTGCTAATTGATGATGTTTGTTTTGCAAGAGTATTAGGCTTTTAATGTGGCTAAAATTTTTTAGTTGATTGATGCAGAGTGGCAAGTATCACTTCAGAGGTCCCAGGTAGTTAGCATCCTTTGAATATTTTCTCCAGGTCATGCCAGTGTGTGTGGGAAATGAGCAGGTAGATAGACTGGCTGGCTCTGCAACACTTGGTGGTGAATTGATGTATAACATGTTAAATATTGTGAGGGCCCTTTGGGAGCAATTGAACAGTGCGGAGGCGCAGATAGATCATTATGGTCAAAGGAGAATGGCGCTGCGAGAAAGGATGAGATGGATATACAATCAGACGGTTACTGGTACCATCAGAATTGGAACTCTTCGCTTGCTGCTGAATTTGGGGACTGAACACTTATGGGAGTTTCCCGAGTGCTGTGATGTCAATTCTTAATTCAATATTCAAAATTCACTTGATGTAAACATTTGGTAACCACATCTGTGACTTCTTTGCAGATCATCTTCAAGTGCCTTGCTGACTGGTGTTGGCGATCTTGCCTCTTCCATAATCTGCGATCTGCAACTGTGTCTATCAGTTCATCCCTCCACTCCATGACAAAAGGCTGTCAAGAATCTTCTCACGCTGTCTTCCTCTGTCTCTCTTTCCACAAATCTTTCCAATACTCACAACATGTTCCATTTTCCCTCTTCTCATAACATGACCAAAAAATGACGACTGTCTCTTTCTGATGTTTGTGATAAATTGTCTTCGAATACCTGCCTCTTTAAAAACATGTGGGTTACTCTTCTTAGCTGTGCAAGGAATTCTGAGGATTCTTCTTGCGGCCTCAAGATATTGTTCATTTTCCCTCTTCTCACAACATGACCAAAAATGAAGACTGTCTCTTTCTGATGTTTGTGATAAATTGTCTTCGAATACCTGCCTCTTTCAAAACATGTGGGTTACTCTTCTTAGCTGTGCAAAGAATTCTGAGGATTCTTCTTGCGGCCTCAAGATATTGTTCAGCTGTTTATTAATTGTCCAGGATTCACAGCCGTATGTTAAAACTGGCTCTATAAAGCTTGCGAGAATTCGTTTTCTTACCTCTAATGACATGGATTTTTTGCACAAAATGTTCTTCATTTTATAAACGGCAGTTTTGACCAGTCCTATACTGTTCTTTATCTCAGTAATACAACTTTGATTGGTAGTTTTCGATTGCCTAGATACCTAAATGTCCATACTTGTCCTAAAATAACACCTTTGACTCTTTTTATACATATACTCACTATTCTTTTCTTGGAAATCACCATTACTTCTGTCTTCCCGTTATTCAAACTGAGGCCCATCACCACTGCATCTATTAATTCTCTGCAGGTTTACATGATTAACCTAAAGAGGAGACCGGCCAGAAGGTTCAGGATGCAGAAGGCCTTCGACTACCTGGGCATTGATGCTAAAATTGTTGATGCTGTTGATGGCAAGTGAGTGTCTGACTTTCTTGAATCATTTCATCCACTGTGATTTTAAAATTAATATTTGGTTGCCATCTTATATCTGCTCATGTTATATCCCTGACCTCCTATAGAAGCCGCCATGGTGTAGACACTCACCTGTGGATCACAAGGTCATGGATTCAGATCCTGGCGGAGCGTGACTGTTTTAAAAACATGACCTTGGCTCCCAGGTCGACCCAACCTTAAATAGTACCAGGTAAAGTCCTGGGAAGTAAACACGGTCTTTGCTGACCACATCACCCACCGAGTGCCAATTGGTATAACAAATATTGGTCTATGCTTTAATGCCTGCATTTGTGGAAGAAGAATCCCTAGAGATGCCGAGAATGAAATTGGAGAGTGTTACAGAAATAAAATAGATGTTGACCTTATAGCTCCAGTTTAATTGTTTCTAGAAAATCTGTGTTTAGCACTTTGGGTCGGTGGCAGGAAAAGGGTCCTTTGCTTTTACTGCAGGTGTTACTTCATGAAATAAATGCATTGAATTTCGTCTAGTCTGAGTCTTATCGAAATGATTCTTTCCCAACCTTTTGTGTGTGTGTGTGTGCCATCCCCACCCAAGCCTTTGTAAAATTCTTATGCCCTCTGTGTAACATATACTTAATAGTTAAACTCTAGATGTGTCGCTTTTTAAATTGCCCCCCTTAATACTCAAATTGCCCCCCATTCCCCCCCCCCCCCCCCCCCTCCCCCCCCCCCCTCCCCCGGTGAGGCATGGGCTGCACGTTCGGTTACACTGATCTAAATGAAGTTGGTGTCTAAACCTATTCTGAACCAGTATAATTCCCTCGAAGTCGGAGTACATCTGCCGGAGAGGCGGGGAACGAGAACTGCAAACAAATAAGCCAGTAAAACGGATGTACACGCAAAACTCAGGTCAAGGTAAAAGCCAAAAGTCCATTTAGACGAACAACCGCGACTTACCGCCGGAATTCACAGCCGGTGAACAAGAAGAAGAAGAAGAAGAAGAAGAACCAGTATAAAACACCATCTCCTCTGGGCTTGATTTGCAGAGTTCTCCTTCCTAGAAACCATTGAGATGTACAAGACTGGCACTGAAATGTAAGATCTTGATGGCCTAGGTTGGTAATGTTTCTTTCATGGATTGTATAAGAGGCATTCAGAAAGTAATGCTCCTCATTTATTTTTCTTAGTGAATAATGAAGATAGAAATACAACATTTTGCATGCTTAAAATTTGAGATTTGTGTATAGTGTGTATTAACTGGCAGCTTCATTCGGACAAAAAGGACACTTGCATTAATATGTGAAATGAGATGGTAAGAGCAATATGAATTAATATGTGAAATGAGATGGTAAGAGCAATATGAATTAATATGTGAAATGAGATGGTAAGAGCAATATACATTAATATGTGAAATGAGATGGTAAGAGCAATATACATTAATATGTGAAATGAGATGGTAAGAGCAATATACATTAATATGTGAAATGAGATGGTAAGAGCAATATACATTAATATGTGAAATGAGATGGTAAGAGCAATATGAATTAATATGTGAAATGAGATGGTAAGAGCAATATGCATTAATATGTGAAATGAGATGGTAAGAGCAATATACATTAATATGTGAAATGAGATGGTAAGAGCAATATGCATTAATATGTGAAATGAGATGGTAAGAGCAATATGCATTAATATGTGAAATGAGATGGTAAGAGCAATATGCATTAATATGTGAAATGAGATGGTAAGAGCAATATGCATTAATATGTGAAATGAGATGGTAAGAGCAATATGCATTAATATCTGAAATGAGATGGTAAGAGCAATATGCATTAATATGTGAAATGAGATGGTAAGAGCAATATGCATTAATATCATCGTAATACATGGGCCCGCTGACACTTGCCTCAGGACCCAATGAGCAAAGGGCCTCATGTTAATCTGTGTAAGTCAAGACTTGCCATAACTACAGATTTTTATTCTTGTGAATGGTTGTCATAGTGACTCTAGCACACTTGTTTACCCTGAAGCCCATAATACTGTTAAGGTGTAACAGTTATTGATGTGGAAAAAGAAGTTGTGGTGAATATCCTTTAACAATTACTGTGCTGTGTATGAAAGTTGTGCAAGTCAATAGAAGTATACTGTTGGTCACTGGGTTCAGAGAGTTAAAGCTTCAGAAAGTAAAAAATATGGACCCTAGATGTTATTCAAGCTGTGAAGAAATGGCTACTTGAACAGGAGAAACTGGAGAGAAATGGTACACATGCTTTTGTTTTGCATTAGTGTAAGGTCACAAAAGTGCACTTAGATTATATAGAAAATTATATGTAAAGGACATAATAAGTTAAATTGTTAGTGAATTCCGCACTTTTTTTCACAAACATTTTGCGAGGATTAAAAAAACATGGGTCATTACTTTCTGAATGTCCCTTGTAGATATTTCACTATCAGCAGACTCCAACCCAAGCACCCAGAGGGATATGGGGGCTGGGGATATTTTGTTTTTAGATTTTTCCATAGATGTGGTCATTCAAGAAACTAGCCACTCACCAAATTTGTGTTGCCTAGAAAATGGAGAAGTCTAAAACTCTACATCCAGATGGTAGTGTCTTCTTAGTTGAACTAATTTTATTTGGTGTTTCTTGTTCTCATTCACCCATTACAAATGAATACCTGGGGAGAATAATGCAGCAGGAAGTATCTGGGTGCCAGTTGAGACTTGGAGGAGAAGGCAAGATGTGTAGTTAACCAGATGATACCGGGTGCCATCAGTAATGAGACTCTTCACTGACTGTTGACAAGGGAGATAACATAGGCTTATCCTAAATGCTGTGGTGCCGAATCTTTACCCAGGTTCACCAGCTGTAAACTCTGGCTGAAAGTCCTGGTTCATCCACTTCTTGACTTCGGCCTTGTTGCATAATTTGATTGTTGCATGCGCATCTTTTATTACAGATCTGGCTTATTTGTGTGTATTCTTCTTATTCTTCCTTCAGTCCATGCAGTGTGGCATTGGTAGTCATGTATTTCCACAACCTTCTATCCTGTGTACTTTAGTCAGTTCTTCTTCTTCTTCTTCAGCGATCTCTGGTCATGCGCATAATCCACTGTGGGTCATAAACTGGGATGTTTTTTCAAGGTCTCTTAGGTTTCCCCAAAGCTTAGTTGTCAGTTCTACTGGGTGTTGCCATATGTCGCTCAGTCAGTTTTGATACAGCATGATCTTCCATGCCATGAAATCAAACTGTCCAGCATTCGCTCTCTCTTGTCTCCCTCTGCCTCTTTTTCCCTCAAATTGTCCTACTGTCAGGATGTCCTCCAGTTTTCTCCTTCTCATTACATGACTAAGTGTATAATTACTTACTTAATCAATTCTCTTCTACTCTGGGGTGGAGAGATTTGCCAGACTTCTCTGTCAGCAGTTTTCTTTTTGACTTTCTCTATTCCAGATCTTGATCAGTCAGGGACTGTCGGATATTGTCTTTCAAGTGAACCCTGGAGGTGTGGTTTGCTGGTTGTTTTCTTCCCATGCCTGCTGTGGTGGCCTATTTATTGTCTCCCATTATGCATACATGCTCACATCATCAAAACTGTGACTTATACACCCAAGTTCTGCCATTTAACACAGTTATTTTGTTCCAAAGTAACCTTCAGTCCAGTGTGGGTATGATTGCCACAGGGACATCTTTTACCTTTACATATTCAGAGTGCCAGCTATGTAACTACCCCTACGAAACTGTTGACCATCATCTCTTTGAGTGCCAAAAAACTCAACGAGACTAGAAAAATGCTACTCCCTCCGAGACCAGACAGGTGGAACACCTTGTAAGGAGGAAAAGAACAGCTTGTGAAAACATGTAAATTCCACTACATGGTATTGGGCCAAAGGGCGAAAGCTCATGTGCCGCTGGATCAATAACAACAACAACAACAACCTTTACATATTCAAGAAATATGGGTTCTTCTTCTTCATTTTCGTGTTTACCATCTGTATAAACTCTGGTGCAAAGTTCTCTGTTTTTATCCACTACTGGACTTTATGATTGTTCCACAACTTGAGTTTTGCAGATCTGGCTTATTTATATGCAGACTCTTGATTCCTGGCCTCTTGGACAGATGCACTCCGACACCAGCAATGAGTCGGCTTTTACAATATACCAGCTAGGGCAGCAGTGTGTCCATTAATTTATTCTCCACCAAGGAGTCTCCTAGCCTACACATGGAGAAAGACTGGTTGATTTCTGTGTTGTTTTCTACAGAGATCTGAACAGTACCTACCTTGATGGGCTTGGTGTTGAAATGCTGCCTGGATTTGCTGATCCATATCATGGAAGGTAAGGGGTGTCTGTTTTACACGTGAGGGGTGTCTGTGCTCTATCTGTGTATGTTGCCTTACTTAGTTTAGTTGTGCTTGCAGGAGTTTCCTGAGTCTTTCCAAACAGGAAACCTACATGCTGGAGCTCTCAACGTTTTACACTGTAATATTTTGAAGATTGTCCTCCTTCTATTTTGCTACTACCACTACCTCTACTGCTGATGTTACTACTCGTATTACTACTACTTTTGTTGCTGCTGGTACTACGAGGAAAGTCAATAAGTAAGTCACAAATGGTTGTTTAAAAAAAAAATCTATAGACGATAACTTGAAAACCGTTTATTTTTACACATACACTGTCCCTTTATTTGTCAACATAAATTTCCACCAACATTGATGCTCTTGTCCGATCATTTTATCAGTCCTCCCTAACCTGCTGCGTAGAACTGCATGCTCTGTTCTCTAAACCACATTTTTTACTTCACATTCAACTTCTGTGTCATTCATGAAATGACTCCTGCCAAGGTGGGTTTTCAATGGACCAGGAAAGTGGAAATCGCTAGGGGCTAAGTCGGGGCTGTAAAGTGGATGTTCCAGAAGTTCCCACCCTAGATGGTTAATTTTCTCCTGAGTTAACCGAGCCGTATGTGGTCTTGCATTGTCATGAAGGAGCAGTATTTCTCTAGTCAGCAGGCCTGGACATTTTCTTCTAATTGCGACATGAAGCATTGATAGAACTTTACAGTATGAATCAGCATTTACATTGTCACCTCTCTTTTTGGAAATTTGTTGAAAGCACTGATGGTATGTGTAACCATGAACTTTTTAACGGTTTAGTTTAGTTTAGTTTAGACAACTTATCAACATCATGGCACACGGGGTAGTAACCCTTAAGTGCTCCGTTCTACTTCTTAGTCTAGCCTGAGTCCGAAGATAATCAGCCGAGTGCACGAACTCTGTAGCACCAGCGAGGTTCCTGAAAAGCTTTGGGTAGTTTTTTAACTCCAAATTTTGCCCTGGCAGTGCCGTTAGACTACTCTTTTTTATTTCCAACTGCCAAGGTATTTTTTACGTGCGCAACAATACACACGGCTCTTCTGATCTTACTACCCAGAGACCAGGGACAATTACTAGAAGTCCATGTGAAAAAATCCCAGTTTTCACTGGGGCTTGAACCTGGGACCTCCAGCACTCGAGGCTAACATCATGCTTGGAGACCATGCAGCCCCGTGTCCCCTTTTTTTATGTATGCCCTGTATGGTATGGTGTCACAAGGCGCTCCTTCTAACTGCGAGAAGCATTTGATTTGCTGTCTTTGTATGTAATTTAGAACTGGGTCTCTTCCAACTTTATATTTTAAAACCTCACTTCTAATTTTATCTCTTCTGGTCACTCCTGCAGCCATTCTCAGACATCTCATTTCTATGGTTACTAATTTTCTTTCATGATTTGTTGTGAGTGACTAAGTCTGGCACTGGTAGCATAGGATGGTTTGTATGAGATATTTCTTTGTGCTGTTTGGGATTGTTGCTGTTGCATTACCTTTCGCTTTTGTTACATTAGTTAACAACTGTCCACATTACCTGAATACCAAGCAGGTAATATTTTAGAATCTGGTTTCAGGTGTTCTTGTTCCTCGTGTGCGTTCTGACCCCGTGGGGGGAGGAGGGGTTGGATAGGTCCCCTAACAAGCATGTCCTTCAAGGTGACTATTTAAGCATTTTTCCTTCAATCAGCCTGTAGAATGAGGAACCAACAGTCTGCATACAAGTAAGACACATCTGTAAAATGGATGTGCATGCACAAGTTCCAGATCAAGACCAAAGTCCATAAGAGGACGAACCACCAGAACCTTCTGCTGGAGTTTTCAGCTGGTGAACGCTGAAGAAGAATGAAAAACGATTATGTGTTTAAGTCATAATTATTAATATGTGCTTAGAAATTATCGTTATGTGTTTCAGTCATTTTTATCATCATGTGTTAAAATCATTATTATCATATTTCTCACTATGCGTTTAGTAATTGTCATTATGTTTTTAAATCGTAATTATCATTATGTGTTTCAGTAATTATTATCAGGTTTTTTCTACTTCTGTATTCAGGTCACTGACGATGGGCGAGATTGGTTGCTTCCTTAGCCACTATCAAATTTGGGAAGAGGTCAGGAGTGTCTTCATTAGTTTCACCTTACTGTAATAAAATAATGTCACTATAGAATTTGTACCATTGCTGGTGTCCGTTGGGCAGATGGAAAGAATACTTCTCAGAGCTCCTCGGCGCTGAGGGAAGTCATGACCCAGAAATAATGGACCTCACTGCTGAGAAGGAATTCAATCATGGGGAATCCCCGTGTGGGTTCCGGGGCCCTATTGTGGGGAAAAACAAGAATAGACCCACTGCCTACCCAAAAGCATGTCGTAAGAGTCGACTAACTTGGAAGCTTCCTTTGAAGTCGGAGTGCATCTGCCTGAGAGGCAAGGAACCAGCAGACACTGCATTCAATCGAATCAGATCTGTAAAACTGATGCACACGCAACACTCAGGTTCTGGAGCAGGACTGCAGCCCAGAAGTTGACGAACAACCAGAACTTTACGCCAGAGTTTACAGCTGGTGAACGCGAAGAAGAAGAAGAAGAAGAATCATGGGGAAGATAACATCAGGATGGAAGAATTGAAGGCAGCTATTGAGAAGATTAAGCTGGGAAAAGCAGCAGGTCATGATGGTATAACACCAGAGATGGTCAAATATATGGGAGTCGAAGGTGAGCGCCTTCTACTGAAGGTTCTCCAGGCAGCCTGGTGTAGCAAAACTATACCAAAAGATTGGGAGATTGCCATCATTATACCTATATTTAAAAAAGGTGATAACAGACAATGTGAAAACCACAAAGGCATATCCCTCCTCAGCATTCCCGGTAAAAGTTACTCTAGAATTCTTGAGCAGAGACTTAGAAGTCTGGTAGAGCCACAGCTGGACGAGGCCCAGTGCGGCTTCAGAGCAAACCGAAGTACTCAAGACCTTATCTTCACACTGAGACAGATGAGTGAAAAAGCCCTGGAATATAAGAGTGAGATTCACTTATGTTTTTTGGATCTGGAAAAGGCATTTGACAAGGTACCCTGGAACAAGCTCTGGGACTGCTTGGCAGGGAAAAACATCCCAGCACCCCTAATCAGTGCAATACAGAGTTTCTACAAAAAGTGCAGAAATTATGTAAGAACAGCAGACCAAAAGTCAGAAGAATTTAAGACCACCAGCGGTGTTAGACAAGGTGATATTCTCTCACCTTACCTCTTCATTCTTATGATGGATGATGTCATCAAGACCTGTAAGGAGAAGACAAAGAAGTACTCTGTAGGGTACTGGAAGATGAGACCAATCTGTATATTAGAGCTGGCTTTTGCAGACGATGTGGCCCTGATAGCTAAATCAGAGGCACACCTTCAGTCCAACTTACTTGTCTGGAAGGAAGAGCTTGAAAAGAAAGGGATGACCATCAGTGTCTCCAAAAAAACTAAAACCATGGTGATCTCAAGAGAGGAGAAGAAACACCAGATCATGATGGGTCAGTATGCGTTGGAGCAGGTTAACCAGTTCAAATACCTTGGAGTTGTATTAGACCAAAATGGAGGCATTAAGACTGAGCTGGCTACACGAAAAGCAGCTGCTGGGAGACTCTTCCAGGCCATAAACCGAGGGTTTCTTAGCAAAAGAGAAATTGGCAAGAGGACGAAAATGGCTGTTTACCGCTCTACCTATGTACCAGTCCTGACCTATGGGTGTGAGTCATGGGCAATGACAACAGCTCACAGAAGCCAGCTGCAGGCCTCGGAAATGAGATACCTGAGAAAGGTGGTCCAAGTGACAAGAAGGGACAAAGTCCGCAATCAGACAATACGTCAAGATCTTGATACCCAGCCCTTACTAACCAGAGTGGATCAGTCACAGTTACGATGGTTTGGACATGTGTGCAGAATGGGAGAAAATCGGCCACCATGGCAAGCATGGGAGGCTAAGAACCAGGGAACCAGACCTCCGGGACGACCCAGGGTGCGCTGGGAAGACAACATCCGACAGTCCCTGACTGACAGAGGACTGGAATGGAACAAAGCCAGAAAGAAAACTGCTGATAGAGACGTCTGGCGATCTCTCTGGCAAACCTCTACACCCCAAGGTAGAAGAGGAGCAACTAAGTAAGTAAGTAAGTAAGTAAGCTGGTGTCCGTAATGAGGTTTTCTGAGCTGAGAGAAATAAGGGCTGTCAAGCTACTTACATCTCAGGATGTTTATTTCACTGTTGACTGACCAAAATCTGAAGAATAAAGCAAATGTTCTACATTATGCAAAGCAGACATCCTTAGTGATTTTACTAACTTACCACTTCCTGTTTATTTTTCAAACCCCACATTCTTCACTTGTGTGCCTCTTCTTCTTCTTCACGTTCATCAGAGGTAAACTCCGGCGGCTTCATCATTGGTAAAATCTGGAGGAAAGTTCTGGTTGTTCATCCACTTCTGGACTTTAATCTTGTTCCAGAACCTGAGACTTACTTGCACATCTATTTTACACATTTGACTTTTTAGTGTGCAGACTGTTGGTTCATTGCCTCTCAGGCAGATGTACTCTGACTTCGAAGGAGGCCCCCAGTTAGTCAACTCCTGCGACAAGCTTGTTGGGGAGGCAATGGGTCTATTCTTGTATTCAGAGACAATTTTTTTTTGAGTAGTCTTTGTAATTTTGTAGAATATTCCAAATCACAGGTCTTGAGTTTGAATCCGCACCTCCCCATGTGGGTTCCAGGGCCCTATTGTGCGGAAAACAAACATAGACTCACTGCCTCCACAGCAAGTATGTCATAGGAGTCAACTAACTGGTGGCTTCCTTTGAAGTCGGGAGTCCGTCTGCCAAAAATGTGGCAAGGAACAACCAACTGCACACAAATAAGCCAGTAAAACTGATGTACACACAGAACTCAGGAATTGGCACAAAGTCTAAATTCAAATGACCAAACGAGGACTTCCTATTTGAGCTTACAGTCGGTAAACGAAGAAGAAGGAGGATCCGCTTCAAGGTGTAATTTTTTTTTTTTTCGGAATTGAGCCTGGCTCTCTGGTTGCCACAGCCTAAAATTTTAACTAAGAAGTATGCCCTTGGAAGAAAAAATGTCTGGTGTGATGTTGATCACGTCATCCACCGAGTGCCGATTAGACTTTAAAATATGTCTTAACAAAATGTACTCAATACACAGCTGTTTTAAAAAAAAAAAAGGTCTTTTGTCACACATTCTAAATCATATTGGTGGCAAAGAGGATAAGTATCTACATATTAAAGATCACCACAGGCCAAAGGGCTCGAGCCCCAGCATTGAAAGAGCAGTAATATAAAACAACTGGCAGTGATCTATGGGCCATTTGCTAGACCACCACGAGCTGAATTTGACCCGCAGGCCGCCAGTTGAATAGCCCTGTTCTAATGTGTCCAGTTTTTCCCCTTCATTTTTCAGGTTGTTGCCAAAAACTACCAGAAGATACTCATCTTTGAAGATGATGTTAGATTTGAGCCGTACTTTCGTACAAAACTGCAGAGTCTCATGAAGGAAGTGGAGGAGACATTTGATGCTTGGGATCTGATGTAAGTTGGTTAAATGATCATTGGAAAAAAGAAAACATCTCTCTCATGCATGCTCCTTTTTACTGTTTTTTAATTTCATGTGTAATAAAAACATCTGGACAATGTCTTCTGTTTCTTGTTTTCCTCCCGCTCTTTCTTCTTCTGTTGCAACTAATACTTCATCTTCTGTCACTGCTACTCCTCCATATAAATAGTTATGATGTTTGTGATGTTCCCACACTGCACAAACAGTAGCATATGGTAGGATCTGTTAGGATCTGCTCCATGCTAGCTTGATGTATTTAATTTTGCATGCACATCATTTGCTTCTCCTTCTTGGCACCAAACAGTTTCTCAGATTTATCTGAGAGTTCACCATGTATAGTAAAGATAGATAGACTATAAGATGTTTGTCATTATTTCACCTTCTCATTTAAACCACCTATATAAAAGTATCTTTAACCCTTGGTTGGTAGCTGGTCTTGGGGGGGGGGGGGGGAGTGTGTGGTCTCTGACAGGTGGACAGTCAGGGCACTGCCAACACCAGTATTGCAGAACAACATGTAACAGTTGACACCAAATGGGCACTATTCAGTCCAGTATTTTAACCAACATTGTGTTACCTGTGTCAAATATGGACATTAACCCACACAAAACTGAAAAACAAAAATCAAAACCGGAATGAAATGTCTACAACAAATCTTAAATCTACTAAAAGAGACAGGATCAGAAATGACGATATCAGGAAACAAGTTGGGATGGAACTAGTGCTAAACTGCATCAAGAGAGAACAGCAAACAGATCAAATGGTTTGGACGTGTGTCAAGACCTTCCACCAGATAGTGCACCACAGAGAGCCCTGTCACTTGGACACAATGGAAGCAGTTCTAGAGGTCGACCATGCAAACTATGGATAGATGGAATATCTGTGGCCGTAAATACCTGCATTGAAGAAGCACATACTAAGGCTCACACTTCAAAACTTGACATTGAAAGGCAGAACAGAACTAAAGAAGTTCACTGCTGCAGATATCACTTGCCTCAATTTATTTTGCCCTGGCGGGGTAGATTATGTTTCTTAATGACCATGAAAGCTATGCCGGCGGTAGCGATAACTAGACAGACCAAAGGGCAACAAACACATAAGAGCGACACCCTGGTCTTCCAGGCTGGGGGTTGAAGCATCTCATTTGCCATGAAATAGATATCTGAGCCTCAAATTTGGACGGTTTCCATTTTACTATTCCTAACTTGATTTGCTTAATTTGACGACATTATTCACAGCTACCTGGGGAGGAAACGTCTGCGCAAAGATTTGGAGACTATGGTTGAAGGCAGTTCTCAGTTGGCATGGCCACATTACTCCTACTGGACCGTTAGTTACATCTTATCCAACAGTGGGGCCAAGAAACTGCTGGCACAGAGACCCCTCTCAAAGATGTTGCCAGTGGATGAGTTCTTGCCAATTATGTTTGACAGACATCCCGAGTGAGTTGTTCTCTGTGTTGTTATTAAACTGTCCTTAGGAAATAAATGTAAAAAGGTAAAGG